TCAAAAACCTCTGCTGCCACCTTTCTTTTTTTTGCATTTTTTTGAAGTACTTTGAAGGTGGTTTACGATAATTAAAAAAAAGAAAAGTAGAGTTTCTTGGCAATTAACAAGGTTATGATAGTAACATTCCTAAAAAGCATATGTAGGGATTGAAATTACTCTCAAATTTTGATAAAAATTTGGGCTGAAAATATAAATTAAATTATGATATTGTAAATGCCAACACTTAAGACCTTAATAAACAATAAGCAGTAGCTGAGACATCATTTACACAAGATTCTAGAAGTTTAGCATACTTTTATAGAGTTCACTCCGGATTTCTCTGCATTACACGGTGGTATTGTGCCAAAGCCGCTATAACTTCTCCAAAATAAAGGTTTTTTTGCTCCCAAGAAATTTCTCACCAAATTAGACTTGAATTCCCCTGTAATAATTTTTATTCTTGAATGAAACTTCAGGGAAAAAAGAAATTTGAGGGAAATATATGTGACTTACGTCAAATTTGTGAATAATGTTCTGTTTTTGTATCAGTACGCTTAATTTTTCATTTTTTTCTCAGAACACTCCACATTATTACTCTATGAAAAAACTTTTTTTTAAAAATAATACATCACCTGTAGCTAAATTCCAACAAGAGCTTCTTGAGACCTGTTGCGGATATTCCACGCAGCGGTCAGGATTCATCGTTTATGAAACATTTTTTCAACACAAGTTGCAGTTCCTCAATGACTACTGGCTTACTGGCCCGGCGAAGCTCATTCATGAGACTTCGAATTCCGCGGTGTACACGGGAGTCGAATTTAGCTGCATAATTCTCTCATACATCCCTCCTCGAGGCTGTCTTGCTGGGGGACTTACAAAACGGCAGGAAATGTCTGTGGAATTCGGGAGCTACTGTCGAGCTGGACTGCGTCAATATATTCCTCACCGTGCACACAGATAAACCGGTAAAGGCAACAACAGAAAGTGCCAGTGTACGTGGCTAGAAGCCCAGTGGTGTCAACCTGCACTTCCATTCCTCACACGCTTCTGCCATGTTGAACAGAATCTGTCGCATAGTTTAGTTCCTGCCGTCATCGGTGCTGTTGTCGGAAGTGGTAGTTTCTTCAGCCGATTCTGTATTTCTGCTTTCTGGGACTTCATCCTTCCACTTATCTGTGCATCGCCTGAAACACAAAAATTTTAAGACAATCTAGAAATATCGAAATTAAAAAGGAAAGAAGCCGCATATTTTTTACCGTTACTGGGTTTGAAATTTAGTATCGAAGCCGATATGTCCCGTAAGCAAGCCCGACGAAGAATTCATCCGCACACCCGTCTGGCACCCAACATCCCGAGGTTCAACAGCCTTCTCAGTCGGTACTGCATTGCCAATCTGACATGCTGCATCCTTCCTACTCGGTTCACCTTCGTTCGTCTGGCATGCTCCGTCTGCCTTGGTCACCGCTATCAACTTCCTCACTCGTCATTCCAGCCTCCATTCTTCCACCACCTTCTGCTATCTCCTCAGTCTTTTCGTTATAAGACGCATTATTATTTGAAATTAATTATTTCTTCCTTAGAGAATACGCGACGAGTACATCATGTTGTTCCGTTCTTTTTTGTCAGCAGTATTATTATCTCTTCCTCACTTGTTTTTCTTGCTTGGCATGTATTTTTTGTGCGTATTTTGTAACTATAAACTAGGCAGACTATTGTTTTAAGGACAGACTAGTAGTACTATTTAGAAAAAGCATAGTTACAACAGTAAGGAATAAGGTAATGTTACAAATTATTTGCAAGAAATCCAATGTAGTCATTAGTTTTTATTATCACAAACACTACCTTTCTTTCAATAATATTCTAGTAGAAGCTTAAGCTCATTTTACTTTTGTCGCTCTACCATTCCTCTTCTTTTTTTTGGTATTTTTTATTTTTCTACTACTTTGACCTAATTATTTCTTTGTTTTTTGCTAAATTAGGTTTTCAGGCCGTCACTTCAAGATGGCGTAGCTTTCTCAGACTAATCCAGACCCCATATTTTTTTCATAATTTCTATAACTGTCAAGTATGTAGATTTCTACAGTAGGAAAACTGACAGCTGCTTCCGGTCATTGAACAAAGTTATCGAAATAATTAAGTTAAAACGTATGCGTAAAAAGCGAAAACGGTCTGTTGATATCTCGGCAGAAAGGAAGTCAGAAAACAAGAAATTTAGAAAACAAGTAGAGTAAACACTGAAAAACAATCGCTCTTTGTCACACCTCATTTACATGTGTTACGCAAAGGTTTTCCATACCTCTTCGGAGGTTGCTCGTATAACTTTCGGCCATCTCCGTACAGCACAGTGACATTCTGCCAAAATCTCTGGAACCTTTCCCAAAACAAGGCATTTTCCCGCTGGAATTCTTGGACATACAATTGGAAATGAACGCCACTATAAATGCTCAGCTCTGCTGCGCTACCGCATTCCTTTACTCTTCTATTGTTGTCACTCCGTCTTTATTTTCCTTTCTTTTTCTGCGTCTATTTCTCTCGCCCTCCTCATTCCCCAGCTTTTATAGCAAAAAAGCAATTAGTCAATCAGCGCGTTGAGACTGTCATCCTATAAGATTATTTTTTAATAGGAAACTGCAATTATGTTGAAGACGTCATACGTTTGCACAATGCTGAAATAGCACGTCAAGATGCTTCTTTTCGCATTTGAATTCGTTTCAGCAACTCGGAACTTACAGCAGTGAAACCCACTTAATGTCGTGGTTAGCGGACAACTTCCTACATTGGAATATTACTATTGTAATCTCTTGTGCATTTCCTACGTGAGCCCTTCTTATGTTACAGTACTTCAACCGTGACAATAATTAGCCTGTACGTATCAAAGCGTCAGCCAACAGACTGTTATTTCATTTTGAGACCTCTGTCTTTTATGCCTTTAATCTTCTCTACCTTCACGGCTCAAATACTTTCTAGAAAATGACTGTTTTTGATAATGTATTCTTTCCTTATATTTTCAATTCTTTATTCTTTTTTCACTTTTGACTTTTGCAATCAGCATTTCCTTCGAATACCAGTTCAAATCCAGTGCTAAACCTAACAAAGAAACAGCAATACAAGTTACAAATAAGAAAAAATTTAAGATAAACAGACTAGATTTTAAGCTGCCAGTGGACAGGTATTAGCAGATAATAAAAATGTAAAGTTTACTGGTGAAAGGAAGAAATTGCTGCATAGGGAGGTTGCCAATAATTCAGTTGTCAACTTATTGACGATACTCAATAAGACCATCTGCCTATTGCCTCTTTTATAATTGACTTCCGTCAGCTCAGGTGTTCAGTCTGCGACCTCTTCAGGGGCTCTCTTCAGTTAGCTACAGTGACCTTGAAGTTTCCATGCAGTGCTTTTTGCGGGCGGTCGCGACAATTAATATCAGAATAAGACTTCTGATTTAGAAGAGGAAAATTCTGCGCAATATACGTTTCTTTCAAGATTGCTTAGAAGTTTTTTTGAATGGTATCATTAGAATTTACTTGTGTGCAGAACTAGATTGATTTCAAATAACGATTGAGTGAACTTTTGGAAGCAGACTCTCATGAACTTAGCAAGTGGGAATTATTTTATTGTATTTGTAGATGACAAGGTAATAAACTTTAGGGCAAACACTAGATGCTGATAATCTAGGAAATTTTTAGGTTTTTTGTGACGTAGATTTGCAAACAGCTAATTTTTAAGCCTTTTTCTGGTTCTTTTGAATGCTTGGCTGAACTGTACAAACTGGTACAATTATAAAACCATTTAAAATAAAAGCCGAAGGTGTGCATTTCGGTGCAAAATACATAAAAGTAGCTCACAGTAGCGTTTATCGTCTGCTTCACTAATTTCAGGCGCAAGGTGAAGGGTATTAATAGAATTTGCACCATTTTCACAGAACACGGTTTTATTTCGGTTAAATGCCGCTGAGATAGAAAAAACGGCGATTTGTTAAGCCGGGAGGTGACGCCTACCTAAGACTGACCTTGTCGAATTTACTTTTCAGAACATTTAAATAAAATTTATTTTTCTTTTTTAATGACTTTTATATAAAATATTCCTTTTGTCTGAGTCTCGGGTAAAATTTAAATATAATGTTATTATACACTTTGCATTTAAAGGGTGAAAAAAGTGTTTTTATATTTCTTCTTAGCTGCAGCTGACATTTTGAGAAGTCCTTATTTTCAGAATTATTTATCTCAACATCAAAAACAAGCATGTTAAAAAAAAAGCTTGCTATTCTGGTTTAAAAAGAAGTTCTTTGGAAAAATATGTGCATTTTTCTATTAAATTTATTAGGAAAATGTTGCGTTTCACTTTTTTTTTTATAACTTATTTGAGCTTCTAAATTTTCTATTTTCACAAGAACTTTCCTATCTTCTTTCTGCAGTTCAAATTACTCTAAAAGGAAGTAGTGCAGACTTGCCAGAAATCTTTGGAGGTGGATTAGATCAAGTATATCGTCTAGCGCAGTACCACTTCCATTGGTCCCAAGAGGATAGCAAAGGTATGCAGACGCAGACTATACTCATTTTTAACTACTTCTTTTCCAGTACATCGGCCTTAATAAAAATAAGTTATTTGACAACGAATCAAACATAAAATAATTGATAAAAATGATTGCGTTTTATATACAGGATCTGAGCATACGGTTGATGGTCATCATTATCCTATGGAGCTACATCTGGTGCACACCGGTGCGGAAAACCCAGAAAAAATCGCTGTTCTTGGAGTGTTTCTTGAATTTGGAGGCGATGGGAAAGCTTTACGTGAGGAGTGTAACAAAATAGAATGTGTTTACGAACCTAGTAAGTTGTCTTGTCATTCTACTACTTTCAGTGTCGTATTTCTAAGTTACTTTTATTTACTGACTTACAACTTCGATTAATGAGGATTCAAAAATACAAATAACCGTCCGATGAGTGATCTGGAAGACTTTTAGAAGACAGCTTCTGACTGTTGTCTAAAAGAGGAGATTTTTTAGAGTTCTTACATACTGACCACCTGATATACAAATATCTGAAAAAGGAACCCCGAAAGAGGTTTCTGCTACAGACAAGCTGCTATGATAGCGGCATTGCTGTCACTGCAGCCTGCTGCAGTTGAGGAGACAGTTCAGTCGTGCCGAGTTTTAATTAGGGACTTCAGACCTTCGTGGCAGCCAGTACCTAATCATGGTAAAGTGTTCAAAATGTTGAAGATTTGTGGATGGCTGCAATTTTTTATTGTCATGGCTGACTTGTAGTGGAAATGATGAAAGAGACGCCAGTTTGAAGAACGATGTAACAGTTAAGGCTGTTGGTAACACTGGCATTAAATCGCAATAATAAATTGTGTTTTAATACGTAATTTTTAAGTTAGTCGTGCAGAGTGATTGCTTGTTTGAAACGCGTTGGTGATTTAAAGGTTACAGAGCTCTACATTGCCGAAATTTGCAAATCTGCACTACGAGTTCTCTTCATCTTATCATCCTAATTCAGTGACAGAGATTTGCCATCGTATAGGACGTAAAACGATTTCTCTAAACTGGACTTTTTTCAAAATGGACATTTTCAAACTGTAAAGCATTAACTATCTTTACATTAGCTTAAAGAACTGTTATAAAAAAGAAAGTGAGTTTCTTGGATCTTAACAAGGAATAGAAGATTTGGAAGCGTAAAGAAGCGTAGTTATATTTAAAATCAAAAACGAAAAGTCCAGATGCGAAAGTATAAAGCATTAGCACTACACTGTGACGTCTATTAGAGGTTCCAGTTCCAAGATGTATACAAAGAAATGGATTTAGTGTCCACAGGAAAGCGTCCTTTTGCTCAGCTCCTCTGATTTGCTCTCGTCTACCGTTCTTCTCGTCTACTTTTCTGCTGTCTTCTCTTCTCGACTGTCCCTCTCTCTTCTGCTATCGCCTTCTTCTTCCAATTTTTCATTGAAAAACAGCAATCCAGTTAACGCTTTGGAACCGTTAATTTATATGACTACCAAAAATTTACCTTTGTTAGACACCAGTCGAAGTCTTTGTTAAATTATTGTATAAGTTTAAATCAAGGCTTTCTTCAGCAACGGAACTGGAACTTTGAAAACCACGTTTAACGCTCAATGGGGGCATTTTTGAGAAGTGAAACTTCGTTTATTACTGCTATATCTCATTGAATGAAACAGATTAGATCTTCATCTTTAGACGTACCAACTTGACAGTTTGGCACTTCAAAAGATCACTCATATTTTTCAGAGCATTATTGATATTTGCTGATAGTATTCTTTTAGGACATGTAGTTTTACAAGAGCTTAATTATTTATTTGTAGCAAAATTTTATCCTATTGGTAACATCAGAATGGACGACAAGTTGCCAAAGAATAGAAATTCGTTTTGGCGCTACAGTGGGTCATTGACAACTCCGCCATGCACAGAATGTGTTACTTGGACTGTGTTTACAGAGCCCGTAACAATTTTGAAAACTCAGGTGATCAATTAAGCTTTTTAAAACTGACAAAAAACAACTCAAGGCACACATTGCCTTTTTAGGTATCAAGTATAATTAGGTACTTTAGCTGGAGCAGTTCCGAATGGTTCAAGACTCCCCTGAACACCTAATGGAAAAGAATTTCCGACCTACTCAAAATTTAAACGGTCGTGAAGTTTTCCTTATTACGACTTCATAAAATTATGGAGTTTTTGCTACTTCAGTGATTCGATTTATGCAGTCAGTTAAGTATGAACTATCAATAAAGAAGCTTGCAGTAAAGAATTATTTTGCGGAGTATAATAGAAACAAATTTGATTTGGTTATTCTTTTCATTTACCAGAAATAGGTAACAGTGTTATCTTTTTAAGCAAACATTTTGGTAGTATTGCTAATTGCTGAAATAAAGTATCACGTACTAAAAAAACATTTATTTAGTATAATAAATATATGGGCAAAATTTTGGCCAAAAACCTTTACTTTTTGTTGCCTTGGGCTCACTTCTCGGCCTTTTTTGGGTTCAGCCTACCGATATGGGACTTTGTTTTTTAAACTACTGAACAATGAAAACTTGGTAGGTCTTTTTAATATAAAAGGAGAAGAAGTGCAGCTGTACTAAAAACGCACTAATTGTGTCATAAATGGGCAAAAAAGTAGAGAGTGAAATTTTGTTTTGTTTTATTGAGAAAATGTTTTCAAATCTACTAGTTGTTTCTTACATACTCCGGAATAGGAACAGTAACAAAAGAGTAGGATGAAGTTAAATACAACTTTTTGCCAATAACAAATATAAAAACCTTAGACATCACAGTAATGCAGACGAGGGAAGAAGACCGATATCATCTTAAACAAGATTTTTGCAGCAAATTTCTCAGTTCTATATCACTTCCGCTGGAGATTATCGCCCAAATTCTCCTTTCTTAGGCAGCCAGCTAACACAAATCTCTGACTTCTAAAACACGGTTTGCTTAAAAACGTACTTCTTGTGTCTACCATATCAAAAAATAAATTTTTTTGAGTCTTCTATAAGAAGTCGCTCTTTCAGAGTATGTAATCACTTATTTATCTAAGAAACTAGGTAATTTTTAAAAGCCTTTGATAGTGTTTTATTTATTCTTCTTTACTCCAGGACTGCAATATGCACAAAGTCTATATTTTCAAAGTACCAAGGAATGCTATATTCCACCTTGGAAATATTTAAAGTATTTGAAAATTAAGATGAATTGAATGTAAGATTGCTTATAATTTATTCGTTTTAGTAACCTTAGAAAAATAGGAACAACAAATACTATATTTAGAAAAATTATACCTCCGAGTAGTATAAAAAACCTAGTTTTGTGAAAACAGGAAGCGCACTGATTCAAAAACTAATACCGTCAATTTTTTAACGATTTTATTTTTCAAAAAAATGCGCTTAAGGCGTTACAGCTACTTCCACCAAAGTGTTACCGTTATTTTCAAAAATTGAAACTATTTCTTGAGTTTTACGTTACGTTATTAAGTTATAAACTAAAGGGCAGTTGCTTTGTTAGAGGTTGCTTTCGCTTTTTTTTGGTAATATCACGAATTCCCTTAGAAATAAAACCACCTTTTTATTGTTGATCTGTTATGCAAGACTAATGTGAATTCTTAGCACTTTACTGATTCAAATCTTAAATTCGGGTAACTAAACCATGCCGATAGTTGTACGTTTACAGCCGTACAGCGTTTACTTATCACAAACCGAAACAAATAAATATTGACCTGCCTGGCAACTTCAGACAAAAGAAACTTACTACGTTGATACAGTAGCTAATGGGCAGTGGTCTGTTCTTCGCTTTGGAGGCTCTTATATAACAGCATATTGAGTTTTTACACGTCTTCACTGGTTACTAGGAAGTAAATCTAAAATTTTCCAAAATCGCTCTTCCTTAATCTATGCTGTTAATCCTTAGTTTTAAAAGTGTTTCTGTCGAAAATGTCGTTTAATAGTTTTCAAAAAATTATGTCAAAGTAGCGTCACAAAGTGATCCACTAAAACTTTCCTTAACAGAAGAAATTAATAAATTTTATTGAACCAAGTTAATTTTGGAAAAACAGTGAGTTTCACGAAGAAGAAACAATAAAACAAAGATTTTATTCAGTTAGGGCTTACGCTATTGCGAAGACACAAAAGGATCTTTGAGACCCTACAGTAATTTCAAGTCTTTTCACACTTAATTACCAGGGTTATAAAATATGTTCCTTACATAATTTTTAGTACAAAGTGAAGAAGTTTTAAGACTGTTTCTCGCAAATAGCTTAGTATCTTCGTGGTATGTTACTTCTGATCGGTTTTGATTTGACCTTCGTCCTTGACTGAGCGTTCTACTTTAAATTTTTTAAATCTTGATTTTGAAGAAATTTGATCTTAAATTTTTTTATACATTCAGCGACTCTATGCTAAAAGTGCCGGCACTCTTGCACTTTGACGGCCTCAGCGCGCTGATTGGTTGATTGCTTTTTGGTGGGAAACAGCGGCAGGGAGGGAGGAGACAGCAGTAAATAGAAAGGTGGAGGAGCGGCAGCGCAGCAGGGAAGCGAAGCCCTTCTGCGCTGCCGCAACTTAGTCGCAGCTTTTTTGCTTATATATATATATATATATATATATATATATATA